TCAATAATGTGACACTCTATGCGCAATGATTACTAGGGTTGTGCACATTTTTTCTGAGTCCTCATAAGTTGGATCAAATTTGTTAAATTTGTACTTACGAGGCAATCTCTGACACATGGGCAAGGCCCATGACAAAAACTTAAGAATTGAAGCTTACCCAATACTTTTCCATTTGCATTTTGTAAATCTCAGAAGCATCCCAAAAGTCAGTTTCATTTTTAGCACAAAGCAGCAACACAAAGCCAAGAAGTCTGAATTTCCTCTTTAAATCAATGGCCTCTCACCATGAGGAGAGGGAAGCAACAGGGAGAAAGCAGAGATCGCTGGGAAAGTGACTGCAAGAGGACAGAATCCTGGGAAATGTAGTTTTGGAAGGCCAGGAGCCCTGTGGCAGAGAATTCCAAAGGCCCTGCCCTGAACTACATTTCCTAGAATGCTGCTCAGAAGACTTGTGCAAAAAAACGAAACGAAAAAAGGAATAGATCAGAATTCGTATCTGGTTTGTTAAATTTTGACATGTGAGGGTGGGTTTTGAGGGATGCAGGAAAGGTGGGGGGGGGAGATATTTAGAATTTGATTAACTTATCAATTTTTCGGAAATGTTCTGTAACGTTTGGATGTCTGCCAAGGTCAGTTTGTGTTTCACTATAACTATTAAGCAACTTTGGTAGAGCTGCTTTTGAAGTCTTTAAAATTTCATTCCTTTTCTGGTCCCATCTTTGCCAGAGATGCCATAAGGCAGTCGCTGTGGGCATGGCTAAACATGGCCATCTTAATTCTAGTTCCAGGCCCCCAATTGAGCATTGCATTCTAAGCTTTACTTGAGGGCTCATTTTGAGCTGAAAAGCCTTTGTTTGGTGCCGGGAGCAGTTTCTGCAGCTTCCCGAAGATAAAGTTTGTTTACGGCAAGACAAGGTCACTCTATGGCAGTGTTTATTTATTTATTTATTTACTTCATTTGTTGACCGCCGCTCTCAGCCCTGGGGTTTCTCAACCTGGGGGTCGGGACCCCTGAGGGGGTCGCGAGGGGGTGTCAGAGGGGTCACCAAAGACCATCAAAAACACAGTATTTTTCTGTTGGTCATGGGGGTTCTGTGTGGGAAGTTTGGCCCAATTCTATCAGTGGGGTTCAGAATGCTCTTTGATTGTAGGTGAACTATAAATCCCAGCAACTACAACTCCCAAATGTCAAGGTCTATTTCCCCCAAACTCCACCAGTGTTCACATTTGGGCATATTGAGTATTCGTGCCAAGTTTGGTCCAGATCCATCATTGTTTGAGTCTACAGTGCTCTCTGGATGCAGATGAACTACAACTCCAAAACTCAAGATCAATGCCCACCAAACACTTCCAGTATTTTCTCTTGGTCATGGAAGTTCTGTGCACCAAGTTTGGTTTGATTCCATCATTGCTGGAGTCCAGAATGATTGTAGGTGAACTATAAATCCCAGTAACTACAACTCCCAAATGACAAAATCAATTCTCCCTCCAACCCCACCAGTATTGAAATGTGGCATATTGGGTAAGGTAAGGTAAAAGTTTTCCCCTGACATTAAGTCCAGCCATGTCCAAGACTGGGGGTTGGTACTCAATTTCTAGGCCGAAGAGCTGGTGTTGTCCATAGACTCCTCCAAGGCCGGCATGACTGCATGGAGCTCCGTTATTGGGTATTTGTGCCAACTTTGGTCTAGTGAATAAAAATTCATCATGCATTTCAGATATTTTCATTACGATTCATAACAGTAACAAATTACCGTTAGAAAGTAGCAACGATAATTATTTTATGGTTGGGGGTCACCACAACATGAGGCGCCGTATTAAGGGGTCACGGCATTAGGAAGGTTGAGAAACACTGCTCTATGGACAATTAAGTAAGAGAGACTGTATATTACTCTGTTACAA